TGTGTATAATGGGCCAAAGGATCTATTACTGGCTTTCAGTGAATTAATTATTTCATATATGATAATTAAATTTAGCTAAGAAAAAAGTGACTCGCCTTTTTGTTTAGTAGAGTAACGGAAATCCTCTCTGCTGGATGTTCCTGATGATTTCACATCTGGATGTATAGGAACCAGACACTGATTGGCCAGTTGTGATATTCATTGTTACATTACAGACTCGTTTCAATTTAATGTCCATATCATATGTGAGAATTTGCTTATCTGATATTGTTGCTTGAGAGAGTGAAAGCGGCAGTCTGTATCACGTGAATCCTCCGTGACAAAACGTCATCCTCACCTTCGGGTGCTGAACAGATAAAAGAGGTTGGAAATTTGCCAGTTTATGCAATTACCGATTTTTTCAGTTTAATATCCCACGCAAAAATGAATTGAGCTTATCTACTTTAAATCTTAGAACACTTTATTCCAGACGACGACATCTCGATGCGTTATTTCTTGTTAATGTCTTTAAGGGCAAAATAAATTGCAATTCCATTATGGACGCTGTTGGTTTACGTGTGCCGGCGAGTTAAATAAGAGAATTTTCTACTTTTAGTGTGAGCAGTGTGCTAAGACATAGTCCTTCAGTCAGGTGCGTCATCGCTGCAAATGACGTATGTAAATCTTTGGGCGTATTTAGCATAAGCATTGTCTCCCTTGAGGGCACGTTCTCAATAAGGGAAATGATCTAGATAGGTTGTCTTGATAGATGATCTAGCTTGGTTATCTGTTTCTTGTATTTCTTTAACGTTTTACATTTATATTAGTGTTCCCTGGGTGGATTATTTGCTTTAATTTATATTTCTTCATTTATTTTTCTTTGTGTATAATATTGTTTCTATTTTGGGTTTGCCTGTATTTGGCTGTTATATTTAATACTGTATTTGTATATATTTAGTTAATCTGGTTGTGTAATGTTTTTTTATTTAATTATTATTGTGTGTATAATCAGTGTTTGCCTCTTATTGGCTTCTTGCTGTTGGCAAACACTTAAATAAATGAATTGAATTAATTCTAATATACAGTTGTGATGAATGTGGTGCCTGCAAATAAAAGGTACCAGCATATCACTTAGCTGTATTTTTATTGTTATCTTTAACTACTTTTTTGATATATTTTCTCCTGCATTCATTTGTTCTTGGGCAGTTGGTAACAGCGCTCACTGAATAGTCTGTTAATGGAATTCAGAACATCAAAATTAGTCAGTATATCCAAATTTGACATTTTTATTTATATTTAATCTTATTTAGTTATTGTAGTATTCTAATTATATGTGTTTACATTTTTAAAAATTCCTTTGAACTTGCATGAGTAGTAATTCTGTTGTATCACTTCTTTTGCTAAAAATTGACTGCAGCAGTACTTTTGTCTTGAATGATATCGTTTTCATTTGACAGAGAAATTTGTGTTTTTTTATGTGAATTAGCTGTCAGTATAGTGTTTCTGCCCTTTTTGTATTTAGTTAAAGTCAGCCTATGAAGTTAACTACGTTACTTGTGATACGGTTTACCTAAATGTAAATTTTGGGAGCTTGTTCTGTAAAATGATGTTTCCAACCATTTAGGGATAATTTTTATATACAGTTACCATAGAGGGTATCTAAAATTAAACATATCTGAGCAATACATTTGTGTTATAAAATATTATGGTTGAAGTTTTGTAATATTTTATAATGAAAATGTATTATACAAGAAACAGCATTATAAGATAGTATTGTCATCTGCTTATCTCAATGTAAATCAGTAGGTTCTAGGAAAATTGGTAGTAATATGTATGACAGTTTGAAATTAATATTTCTGTGCAGTTCTTTATAAAAATATAGAAATACTTTGTTTTATGATAAGCAGTTTTCTGACAAACCCCCATAAAGCCCAAATCATTCAAATGGATCATAAATGGAGACTAAAATGAAGGGAGGTGTTCTGTCTCCTCATGAAAATTTTATTTTTGGACGTACATTCTGCAAATTGATATATCCATAGTCTGAAATGCTTTTATAGGGTTATGTTCTACTCTTACTGTCAGTCAGGAATAGGAAGAATGGAAACAAATGATCACATGCAGTATTTAGAAACTGCCTTGGATTCAGATTTAGACATGAAGAAAAGGAAGATCCCAGCCAGGATCTTGAAATTGTATGTGACCAACAAAACCTCCCAACTGCAAGGGCAGAGCCTTGGCGACAGTGTTGCTGGTAAGTGAGGTTATAATCATATCTGCTGAGCTAGGGCTGTCAGCTCCCAAAGCCAACGAATTTGGGGAATTATGGATGTAATTATCTTAAATGCTTGTATTTTACAAATGTATTACCAAATAGGAATAGGGAGTTTGGTAAGAACTTGTAAGGCCTACTTTTCTATTACACACAGTTCCTGCTGCACAATTCTTTGTGTTAATGTTTCATTTTGGTTATGTAATTGTAATCCATCAGCAAAACACAATATTGTTTCTTTTATGAAAAGAACTTACAACTTCAGTACCGTACAGCCCTACATTAAATTTGCCATATACAGAGCATAATAATTTTGTTTTGCACCATCACACAATTTGTATTTTTTTAAAACTTTTAAAGGCATAATATTTACGCCAAAATTTCGTGAATATCGGTTGGTTGGTCAAAGATTGAAAGGGGAGAGAACAAAGTACAGTAAGTTAAAAATTCTATTTTAAATTTCACGCCGTTAGATTTGTCATGTTGGTAATAAACTCCAGTGAACGGTGGCGTGTTGAGAGCGCGGTTTTCAAGCTTTGTGTGCAAAAGTATGTTTTCTGGCGTTTCTCTTACGATTTTACAGTCACATTTAATCAACGTTAGCAGCCTGGGATGTGTTTATTTTATTGAAACATATATCCAGTGAAGACTTTGAAGTAAGTCATAATTGCTTCGATGAGTATTTCTTGTGTTTTAGGTTATGGTTTGGAAAATGAGTAGCCATCTTTGGTTAAATTACATACTACGTAGGTTTCTGTGTGACCTTCGTACACAGACCAAACAGCACAGAGTATTTTCCCTTTGCCAGTCGATATGTTCACTTGTTACTCCTGGATTTAGTGCTTTACACTATATTTTGAATTTGATTATTTGAATGTTAAGTTGCTCATTAAGAAATTGTCTCCTGTTACTTCCTAAAAGTAATTTACTGACACGTTTTCCATACTTATCCTTATTCGAGACTGAGGTGAATTTAAGCATAAAGTTGTTAAATCAGGTACTAAATGTCACTTCAGATCCTAATTGCTTTTCAGAATCGAGCGTCAAGAGGAGTTAGCACTGACTTGTAATTTCGACATTGGCAGCGTTTTGATGACCTGATCCTTGCAAACCCAGAATTAACTAGCGATGAATTGCATTTTTGTATAGGCATAATATTTTTAATATATGTAACAGAAGTAATGGCGAAATACCAAAAAAAATGTTTGTTTTAGGGGCTCTATTGATCCGGGGAAACTTTAAGGGAGGGAAAGGGAGTGGTCGTGGGGGTATAGAGCTGTCACGCGCATGCGAACTATACCAAGGGGTTGATTCTATAACGGAATCCATTACTGACACCAGGCTGCAAATAGTTTTAGAAGCAAAACCCCTCTACCACCTGTGAAGTTAGGATAGTGAATTAATTTCATGTAATTTGTTCACAGTTTGTGTGCGAGGGCTTCGGACGGGACATTGCCACGCCCATCCTAATCTTTACATTGCAATGTGACGTCTTGTAGTTTTCTTAGAAATATATGCTTATACTCTTTTCCTATAGAGGTATCTAAAGGATGATTGTCAGTAGGATTTGACGACGAAGTTTAAACATGAAGTTCTTGCATTTGTAAAGACCATTTTTGCCTGTTGAAACTCTTCGAGTGTGTGTGGGCTAAATTATTAGAATGTCAAAAACACAATTAGCAGAATATATCCTTCCGCGTGATGTGCTAGTTCTGGACAATATCAATATTCGTTCCCTGACTTTTAATTTTATGTACAGTCTGCAAATATTAATTCAGAATAAGTTAATTCCTTGGTACAGACAGGTTTGGCCTTGGAATATAATTTTAGTGTTCATAAAACAGAAAAATCACAGTCAGAATGTACGCATTGTGAAAATGCTTAAGTTCTGTGATCACGCTAATGGCTTTGAAAACGTTCGAAGGTCGTCGAATGTCTTTTGTTTTTGTGTTTTAAATGTAACGCTCTGTGCATGAGGTTATTCCGTATTATGGCTTAATCGGCCTCGTTGCTGCCACATAGGTGAACTGGATAGCTGGGCTACAGACTCGCTCGCTTCAATTGCTCACATCAGTACAAAGCAGCAACCTCCATCAGTTAGTAAATTTGTGTCTGAACTGGACGCAAATACAAGAAAGAAACATATTCTTCTTACTAGAAATAATTGTTAGTATATTTTATAGAGATTCTACTGTCAAATCAACGCAAATGTAGGACATTTTTAGGTCAATTTCAGTGGTTTGAATGATTTTTCGTGTATGTTGAGAACAGTATCACAAAACCTAAAGTGGCTTATGATGCAAATAAATTACCGTATGAAGACTAAGACAAAAAAACAAACAAACAGGAGTATTTATTATGTATGCATTAAAATAATTTCTGACTGGTAGAATTCGTTCATATAACCATTTACTCCAGAACCCATCGTACCAGAATATAACATTAACAACTCAAGGTTTGTGGGAATGGAAGGCTTCATGTGTTCAGCATTATTTTCAATAAACCACTTGAGGGGAGGGCCTGCAGTCATATGTATGGGCGGGAGGGGTAGTTACTTCAATGGGTCTACATACGAAACCGCCATAAAAGATGGCCAAGCCATGTTTTGCTGTGGTGGGGAATTAGGCGAGGGGGAGGAGGGGCAGAGCAGAGGGGAAGGGATCCCCAGCTAATGCCTGCAGACAGCGACTCGAGCGCTGGCAAGATGCGTGAAGCGAGTGAACCAGGAACATTCGACAGGAAGGTACAGTTCGGCGGAGAGAGGGGGGTCTGTGACGTGTGTTGGACATGTGGATAGTGCAGTTGTAAACACTGTGTATTGTCACTAATCGACGTTTAGATATAACCAACCAAAGGCAAAGTTCTGGTGTTGTCAGCCTACAAAGAATAACGGTATTTAATGAGCGCTGTGCGATGTTTTAATTTAAAGTGTTTAAAATAAGATGTAACTACTTTTAAATATAAGCGACCGAAATCAACATTCTGGTGTTGTTTTTTTTTCTTCTGACAGCTGCTTTAAGATATGACAGTCTTTGAATTTGGACGTATTTTAGTGTAATGTGGGTTAGTGTTGTTAAACACTTCGTGATGACATGAAACGAAAAGATGTTTAAAATTAACTAGCCGCAAACGCTTTGGTGTTGCTGATAGATACGTAACAACAGCATTTAATTCGATTAAAAGTTTAATAATTACGCCAGTGTAAAGTGTGCAGTTAATTAGTAATGATCTGTGAATTTATTTTTAAACTTTGGGTCCTTCTGGTAAAATATTAAAATGACATTCAATATCGAAACAGAGAGAAACGTAAGTTGATTTAAAATGAGAAGAGGTGTTACCAGTTGGTACTTCACCTGGAAATTTTCTGTCTCATTTTCGCAGTGCGTCCTTGTGTTCTGCAGGTGGCGGTTTAATTAGTATACATTAACGAGATACTCTTTATTAGTACAGCTAATGAGGCTGTTAATGTAATGTATAAAGGCAACGTTTGTGCGTTGTTCCGTGTCACCTGATTATAAGTTTGTACACAGGAAATATATTTACACGGAGTAACCGACAATTTCTGACGTTGCTATTAATTGAGTTAGTGAATTAAATCAATTAACCCGTTTATACTCAGGAGAGTGACTTGCATTTGACATACAAAAGCAGGATTATAAACTAATGCCATTTGAAGCGACTTTCTGGTTTTATTTCTACAAATACTTCTTGCTGTTTGAGAAGAGATTTGAGTCCAATTTAGAACCAAATTTACGCTGACGTATTAGGAGTTTTTAGGAACTGCTTTTTGATGATATTTAAAAACCAGTCAGTGAAAGTTATATTTATTCACAAGGCAGGCTATTGGCGAATGTATTTACAGAGGAATATAATGTTTGCTGAATTTACAAGTGGACTATATTCACATAAATGTCTGCCTCTTAATCATAAAATCTTCAAAAGACAGTATTTATTCATGACCTCGCATATATTTGAGGAACGTTTTGAACCCGCAATGATTCTCTAGATACGAATCATTTTGTTATTATAGCAACATTAAGTTCTTACATTTTCTTTGTTTAAGTCAATTTCTTCTCTAAGATACCAGTACAATATGTGTACATGCTACTTTGTGTTATTCTTTATTATTCAAAGCCCCTCGTACTGTTTCAGAATTGGAATTTCAAATTATCGTATATGACAGAAGTAACGAAAGGGGAGAAAGTGTTTTCACATAAGGAAAGTTCATTAAATGTAGTATTTGAGGTTTTCACGGCAGCGAGTCTGAAGATGACTGTCGTCTGGTAGAAGTTTACCGACGTTTAAGAGGTCCTTGCTGCCTCCATCATCAGGGCGATACTTCGGTAAACTTCCATCAGATTACACGACGAAACAACCTAGAAGACAGCCATATTCAAAGTTCATTAAAGTTTATGACTAACTCCAGATACAGAACTTTATACGTTTTGCAAACTGAATAATTATAATCGCGGTCCGTATCTCGGTATACAGATGTCTCAGCCCGGATTAATCTTCTCCTCTTACTAGGTTTACGGACAAACTGAAATAATAAGGATCACTTTTGATTTCTTTATTTTTACGAATTCCTTTAAAACTAGTTAACGGGTGGACATGCCCATTAAGAAAAAAACTACTGTCCTTAGCAGAATTGATCCTACGAGTATGCTTTAAAAACATTTTTGGACGAGTTTTGTTAAAATTTGTATCCGTCAATTTTAACGTTTACGCGAAGCCCAACTATAACTTAAATCACATTTATCAAACACAAAATATCTTCTTTAGACTGATGACTTATCGAAACATTTACCGATGTTTAATTAAATAAATACATGCAGTATAAAATATATAGATTGACTTTGGCAAGGTTTTATGATACGTCTAAAGTATTTACTACTGATTAGCTTGATTAACGATAGATAAAATGTAATAAATAAACATTAAGCGTAATGAGTGCTTGAAAGAAAATTAATTTCTGTAATTTTCTCTTTATTATTCTTACCTTCATTTGGTTAAGCACAATGCTGTCTCGGAAGCAGATTTTAAATACAGTTGTACAGATTTACAATGAAACTTATTGTGTCTCGTGTCTGTTGTGTTGAAGGGCCGAAGGAAGGCAGAAGGAAGGCATGACGTTGGCAGGATGTAATCAGCTGACTGGCCCTCGCTATCCTGGTAGCAGGAATTGAATGAAATACACCACGCAACACGACAGAAGGAAGGCATGACGTTAAACACAACGCGACAGACACTTCGAAAAGTGGCCTAATTGTAGCTGTAATTACCAACAAAGACAGTGCAGAAGAGTAGGTTAATAGCTAACGCGAAAAACCAAGACACGTGCCTATGGAAATAGATGAAAAGACCTTCTAGAGTGAAGTTTTGATTTATATTTTAAGGTTAGGTGTACTTTTGCATTCTTACGACTTGGTAAATTGTGGTTCCACTATCTCATCGAAACCTATGTTAATAATCAATCATCAAGGAGGATTTTCTCGTGACTTTCTGTCACCGGTGGGAATTTTAATCTCCAGTTTTCGAGAGTGTCTTTGAGCTGTGACTACAACAATCGAATTCCCTTACGCCTTGTACCGCCAGATATTATAACAATACAAGTTCTGTGCTGTGATCGGTTTCCCACCGCTACAGTGATGACACCATGAGCACCAGAGAGATTTTCTTAGACGGGGGATCCCCGTGGGGATTCCGTATGCATGGCGGCGCTGATGTCGGCCAGCCTGTGAGGATATCACGGGTAAGTCAAGATTATGTCAGTAGTGCATGCGATCGTAGTGATCCTTGAAGAAGGACCAGTGTTAACTAACAAACGAATGCTTAGCAGAGGAAGAGGATTTATAAAGCGCGTTTGAAGTACAATCTGTGCGAATTTAAATAAGCCGTCTGTCCTCTTAGCGTTGTGAAGTTTCGCATTACGAAATTGCTTTCCTTCGTATGGCTTGTCATCCGATACGCGAATTCGCTTAACTGTAATGTTCCGAACAAAGTTGAACACGCGCTGGCGAATATTAATGACCTTTAATCACTTAAACCAAAGAGATGATAATGTTGCGTCATATTGTGATGATTATAATTGTTTAATTTTAACCGTCTAATCACAATAAAATATTTTATTAAATATTAAAATATTATTACTACAATTAACATTTAATATTTAAAATATATATTAAAATGATGCTCTTTCTATCGAAATGTTCGATTTACAATTAGAGCATCATCTTTTTCACGACATGTTTCGGTTTTCAATGAACCATCTTCAGGTGTAGAATCGATATAAATTCAAATGTAATATTCTAAATGCAATCCTTCGTCAGATGTCCATTAAATATCAGAAAGTTATCCTCTTCTAGATCAATTGTACTTTGTTATCACATTCAATGTTGTTTCGTAAATGTATGTCGCGTATAGCGTGATCTTGCGTGGGTGAAATGTTTGTAGTGGTTTTTTATAATCGGTCAGATATGAAGAGAGGAGGAGGTCTGTCTAGAAGTAATGTTGTTGAAGGCAGGAAAGGTGTTTATTTTCTTATTCTTGTTTACAGGATATTTTATATCACTTAGAATAATCTGACGTGTTTTCGTTAGAAACGTGAAAATCAATTATAACGTTGTTCTTATGGGAAATAGCGATTCGCTTTTCGAACTCTCACCATGAACGTTAACTGTTATTAAAAGCTGGAGTTTGTAATTACGGTTCAAGTAACCCCACCCTAAATTTACTCATGTTCCCAATTCTACCGTTCTTTGTTTTTAAAGCTGGGTAAGTCGCTGAGACTTCTCCAACAAAATGCTAAAGATATTTGATCTCTTGATTTGACTCTCTCAGATAATTTGAGAAATTCCGGCAGAAACAATTCTTGAATGATAAGGAATTATACTAATGCCAAACGTTTTGTTCGCGTAGTCAAATGGGCGTGCGTTCTCTGACCATTCGAGCATTATATATATCAGGGGCTCTCTGTCTTCTCCAGACCTAGGACCACATTGATCCTTGGTTTTAGACTTGCGTGCTGCAGGGTTTTAAATGAGGACAATTTATTAAAACTTCTTGGCAATTTATTAAGCATGCAACCAACTTAACGATTACAGACAAGTTTACATATCACTGAATATTTTTCTATAACAAAGTAAATCTTAAGTGAGATACAGTATTTGAAAATGCTTTTGCTTGAGTGATATTTAAATATCAGATTTAGATTTTGTATTTATTTGTTGTTGTTCGCATGCATCCCTCCAAATGTTAATCAGTAAAATGTGTCCTAGACTTTTTTCTCAAGGGCGAGAGGCACTGCCAAATACTGAAGGCACAACAAACATGATTTTTGATATCAGGTAACTATTTTTTATCGTACAGAGTGACAGAAATTTTGTAATGTATGAGGGTTGCATAAAATATATCGGAGGGCCACATGTTTAGAACCCCTAATGTAGATCGGGGATGCGATGGGATGATCGTCTGTTAAAGAATCCTAACAGAATGTTACTTTCAGATTTGATTCCGAAACGAAACAGGACATAGGGCATAAACCGTCACAGGCCAAGAATAAATGAATCTAGAGGAACTTTTTTACTTCTTTGAGCCGAATAGTTGTTGAGTGAGTTCGCAGTTATCGATAAATCTTACTTTTCTTGCCCAAAGAAATCGATAATTACCCATTTTATTAAATCGAATACTATTCAAGGTCTTAACACAAGGAGCATGGCGAAAGTCAGGAATGGAGTAAGGTGTTACATTGGCGTTCGACTTTTCTATAGGATCTGACAGTCATTTGCTGCAGTCTTAGCTCATACCTTCTTCAAATGCCAAGATAACTTATGAAAACACTGGTAAGATATGTGAAAATTTAATGTTTATGACAAACATACGAAATTTAGTTGGTGGAGATAGAATAATTGAACAAAACTGGGAAGATGTATTAATTGGAATACACGTTTTTTTTAAAACGTATTACTCGTTATTTGCGTACCACGTTTTACTTTATTTATTCCAGATAGAAATTTAATATCGCGCAGAGATTATTGTACTGAATCCAAGCAAATATTTTTTAATAAATTTCATATCTACTTTTGGTGTCATATATCCTCATGAAGATGATAATGAATTTAACTTTCACCTTCATATAAAGCAGGTGGTCTGTTGGAGTGATATGAAATCAAATTATTTCTGTTTGATACTTTAGCGCGGATCGCTTCGGAACCAAATTTTACCAAAATATAGATAATTTATACCAGCATCTACATTTTTATCTCCTAAGTGATATCCGTGCCGTTCAGATTTTCCTATTAAAATTTTGTACGAATTTCTTTTTCATATGCTACATGCCCCTCCCTTTGACTTGATTACCATTATTATAATCAATGTCAAAGCACTTAAAATAACATCATTAAATACGTTTGGAATGTGCAACAAAATTGAACACAATTAAGTAAGGTAGATAAAAGTGAATTTAATCGCAGAATGTATGGTTTGAGGTTTTCACAGCGGTGAGTATGAAGATTTCTGTCTTCTGGGTTCATCGCCCTGATGATGGAGGCAGTATGACCTCTGAAACGTTGGTAAACATCTACCGTACTACACAGCGCAACAACCCAGAAGACAGAAATCTTCATACTCATCGCCCTGATGACGGAGGCAGTGTGACCTCTGAAACGTTGGTAAACATCGACCAGACTACACAGCGCAACAACCCAGAAGACAGAAATCTTCTTAATGCAGAAATTAAATTTTTGCGTTCATTAAACCTACTGGAATATATCGGATACAGGATGAAATGTAATACAGTTAATGAAATTTAACAGAGACAGAACACATTTAAATATCCATTTACACGGAATAGATTCGATTTGAAAAAAGACAAATCTTACAACCTATCGACTGATGATGACGTTGGTTAACTTTCAGTTCATAATCGCCTCCTATCCCATTTCATACATGACACTCTTGTAGGCCTAACCTTCGTTGTATGAAGTGAGTTAGCTTGTCTCTTAGTCTTTGTCGTGCTTGGAGGATCAATAGCTCGTAACAGACGCCCTGTTACGTCACTAATTCAATTTGGAGTTTCAAGACCATCATATCCGCGCAATTTTTCGTACCGCAGAACGCAATCTTTTAACTATTACATGACTCAAAGTCCTCTTAAGCATGTTAGAATTCCTCGGTTGATCTAAAAACTGTTTTATGGAATTATAATTTTTAACTTTTAACTTGAAGATGGTTCAATGTAACCGAAACATATAGTAAAAGATGTACCAAATATGTAAATGATATTTTAATATCTTATGTATAAATTTTATTTATATACAATTGTGATTAGACGGAAAAAATACGAATAATTAAATTTTAATTCACAATTTGACGCAATTATATCAACTTATGTTTTATGGAAGTTACTAGCGGTATAAAGAAAGACAACTTTGAGAATTTACCCTTTGAAGCTCGAAGCCCATCTAAACAACATTTAAACATTCGGGCGGTGCCTCAGAGGAAACACATCGCGTCACCATTGCAACGATCAATTGATGGCTGATCTTGATGGAAATATTCGCTCTTTAGCCTGAGAATAATTAGAAGTCATACAGTTGGGCGTAATTCAGAATTACAGAATTTTAACGGTGGTACCTGTGGGTACCACTGTTCTTTAAAGTGTTAAATATAGTTCATATCATTGCAATACATGTTTCTTAAACACGTTTTAATATTATCCTTTAATCTACTCCTAGATCACACAAAGTAGTCTATTTGGTTGCTTTGAGGTTTTCCCCTCATCGCTTTGTATTTATTTATTGTTTCCCCTCAGTTTTATGGTATGTCTCTGTTTTAATCAGCCTAACAATATTCGTTGGAGTAGAAATTGTGAAAATTCTCATTATGCAGTTTCATCCATGTTAATGGCCCAGAAATTACCGTCTATTTTTCATACATGTTTATTTAGGGAATTCGAAATTCCTGTGCTATGTAACTCAGAGTTTCGTCGCGGAAATTATAAAACAAGGCCCTATATTAAGCCACCTAAGTTCACTGCACTTCTTCACTATCGATTATTATCGAAATCTGCGGTGGGCTGCGACAGCTAGACAGACGGACCATCAGAGCACGTCGTCGTATTATTTATTTCTGGAGCTCGGGACAGGTCGCCAGCGGGAATCCCCAAGGGGATCGGTTAATGTCCACGATCATGCTTATCGTGATCTTTTTCGGTCACTAGTATACGTGCGCTTTATAGTTGTCTTTTTTTTTTTTTTAGATTCTCCGTTCACTTGTCAGAGTGCGTGCTTAAGGAAATTATTTTATATGTGCTGTCCAATCTTTTAGCGGGGATAAACGGAGTTTCTAAAGGTGATATGCCAATATTAGCCTCAAGGGATTGCCAAGAAGTACCCAAAACACAGAGAATATTCAAACTTAAAAAAAGATTTGCCTTTCTGTATTTGTGAATCGAAAACGTAATATAGCCTGCATCCTACATTTTAAAATCTACTTTCATTTCCTTGTTAAGTAAGTAATCCAGCACTGATAATGACAGCTGCTTCGAAATCCCGTAAAAATTAACGAGCTGCCTGCCGAACAAAGGACGGTTTGTGTGTCTGAAAATAAATAAATATGTATCTGAACTGTTGGAACTGAATAACCTGACCTTGAAACACTCTTGAGTACAGAAAGCGTTTATAAAATTCAACACGTAACGTCTGTGTTAGCATGTCGGTGAAATACGAGGTGTTATTTACGTCGACTGTAGAT